GCATGGAAGAGGGAAGAAGGAGGAGGAAGAAAGAAGAAAAGCTGTCTCCAGCAAATTCCCCAAAATTTATAGTGAATGTGACGTTTATGGTACGGAATGATGGTAATTGGTCAGCCTGGGTCAGCTTGAGGTCAACTCCCCTGTGTTTCTCTTCCCCTCAGCCTCTGCATCCATTGATCTCAAGACTGCTGGAGACCTTGAGCATCACATCTTGGCATTAGCTGAAATCTGTAACAAAGTCTTACCACTTTGTTCCCATGAAACAGAGTGCTGTAGCCCTTACAAAATCACAGTTTTCCTCAACAGAAAACTGACTCTAAAATTCTGTCCCAGTAAACCAGGAAAAATGCAATTACTTTATTTGGTTAAAAAAAAAAAGGCTATAGAAATATGTATAATGTCTGTAGCCTCCTCCTATTTTAATTCATATCTGGGATATTTCATTGTGGAAACCTCCATTCATTTCAGTTCTGTTCTACCACTGAACTTCTGGGAAAAAAGAAAATAAGGAAACTAGACTTAGACTTACATGTGTTCACACACGCATGTGGCTGTTTGTGCCCCATATGACCCGCATCTGATGCTTGTATAGGAGTTTGTTCAGGTTGTGGAACAAAATGGTATGTGATAACATGATCCAAAGGTATTTCTTCAATATCAACACAGTGTTGATGAGTCTTTCAGTAATAATAGGATTTTTAAAAAGAGCTTAGCTGCTACAATGTATGTTCCTTTTATCTAGTGCTCATCACTACAGTGTGAGATTCTTCAATGTTCATGACACAAAGGCTCTTCTACCTCTCAGAATTCATTTCAGATGAAGCCATTAGATCTCACAGCTGCAGTTTAATGTAGGGATTTTAGGTCATCCCAGAACTTACCCTTTTCCAAGAACAGTTTTAATCTTTGCATAGTACTTGAATATACTTCTTATAATTATGTTTCAAGTGTTATTACAGCCATATTTCAGATTTTACGTACGTAAGAAAATGCTATATTATTTTAATACTGAAGGTAGAGCAAAAATCTATTCAATATTCACCTTTCAGGAAGCACAATCAAATATCCAAGAACACTATTAGACTTGCCTAGCATAAAGTTTCAAACTGCTAATGGGTTTTAAATTGATGTCATAATGCTGCAATTTAAATACATGATGTTCATTAATTTTGCCAGAACTCTTTGTAGAGTAGGAGTGGTATGAAAGGAGGAAGGTTATATTTTCTGTACCTGCTTCTTTTTATCTGCTTGCCCATTTTTGATACACAAGAAGAATAGTTTCATCAGCTTGGGGTGAGGGGTGAAGTTTACTCAAATGACAGTAGGTTTCAATTAGGTAATCACTGTGGAATTATATCCAAGCAATATTTTCTATGAAAAAATAGCAGGAATAGGATTAAAAAGTAACTGACACATGATAGGCGTGACATTTCTTAAAGATGGATTTCATGGGACCTATCACCAAAAATCCATAGGTACAAAGGAGAGGAAATAAGAGATAGAAAGGTCATCTTGCCCATACACCTTTTCACTGAAATGTCAGGATTCAAGTACTTGAAGAAGAGAGCAATATTGCAAAATGGGCAGCTGTGGTCTCTTGCAAATCTTAGGGAGTCCTCTCAGATGGACACTGAAAAGGGAAAGGAGATCACATTGTGGAGGTCTACTAAAGGATCCTCTCGAGGGGAGGGAGGGCAGGCACCGGATACAATTTTCTCGGTGAAGAATCCTGTCTTTCCAAAGTATCTCGAAAGTCAAACTAGAATGTGTCTAGACATAATGGGCCAGTAGAGTACAACACTTTATATCTATTTATATTTCAAATACAGTATGTTTACTGTACATAAAAAGTCAGCTTTCCAAAGCTGTTGCTATAGCTACAAATCAAGGAAACCATAGCAACAACCCTGTATTATGTGCAGCCTTAATTAGGGATTAAGTTATGTCTCTCTTTGCATTTTTTTACTAAATACTCCCATACAATCTAGTTCTAGTAATCTTAATTCTTCTTCCAGATTGTTTAATAATAAAAAATTCCATAGTATTATACTGTCAAGTCAAATACACAGCACCCTTGAAATATGTCTTTACTGCATTATTCTGATCATATCTAATAACATACACATCACTGCTTTTGACTTGAGATAAACACAGATGTTCATATCACCATATTTCCTGATCTTCTTTGATACAAATCATTGATCACTTCAGCCTTAAGTAATTGATCTTCCATCATCTCATACGGTTTTGAAGTCTCATCCCACCCAGCCTTACTGCAAAAGAAATCAGTTCATCCTAAGTTCATTTTTCCTATGGATTTAAGACTTGGGTTGTTTTTTTTCCTCAGAAAGTAAGTGTGCTAGGGAAGGACAGGAAAGGCAGAGTAGTAGTTCATGCAGATTTTCTAGCTTCCCTGTCACAGCAGATGACTGACTGGGTTGGTGGTAAATTACTCTAACGACTCTGTTTTGTTGACCTTGCATATGTACTACTTAAGTACACTGAAAATTGGGGTTAGAAAGCCCTGGCATGCTGCATACAGCCAGGCCTCAGAGTGGAGCATCAGAAGAAGAGGTAAAGGAAAGCAGAGAACAAAGGTGAAGAAAAGGAGAAGAATATTGGGAGCGGCTGAGGACCGGGAGGGAGTGCTATCAGAGATAGCAGGAGACATGCAGGACCCAGTGGGGTGACAGGCTTCAAAGGACACTCTAGAAGACTATGAAAACATTCTACAGGTGCATGGATTCTCTCAACAAAAGAGAAAGTCAACATTTGTGTCTCCAAAAGTCTTCTCTCCTGTCTCTCTTTCCATCACAACATTTTCTGATAATTCATTATGGCACAGTTTCCTCATCTTTTGGTCCTTGCCCGTTGACGAGATGGCATATGTCCCATTTTGCAAAAATCTTGGCCATATTTTTTAAAGCATTAGCTGCACTCACAGATTGGACCTTCTGCTTATCTTACATACCACAGCAGTGCAACAAACCAGAAAATAATATCTTAATTGCATGGAATGAGCAGGTAGTCAATGTATTTGGTACTTACACAGAAATGAGAAATCTGTGGTTTTAATCTCTATGAACAATTGAGAATTGTTGGCTATTTTAATACAAATAGTATACAGAGGCTTATTTTATAAAGCAATCTGTGTTACAGAAGTTGTAGTCTGAGCGAGCTATGAGTGTGACTTCAGAACATGAGCTGTGTAAAAGCTTTTCACATGGGCAGCACAATAAAACTTCCCCCACACAGGGAATAATTAAGTAGAAGATAGTGCATTCACAATTAGCAAGGCATGTTCCGTTTCTTCATTATCATTTTAATTAGCAAATATTAATGTAATCTGCAAATACAAGGGGGAAAACAATTAAAATTACTAAGTTTAAGGAGTCCTTCATGACCTAAGCTAAATTGAGACAAATGTCTTACTAATTGATACTGGTCACCAACTTTCAGGACATTCATTTCCATTTACTGTTAGAACTTCCAAGCGTGTTATCAAATTTAAGAATGAATTAAGGCTCCCACAAGCTACATCTAACCTCGGATGAAGCCAATGGTGAATAGAAATGGATTAGCATGCTCCTCTCCTCTCCAGTTCTCAGTGCAGACTGATAGTGGTCAAGTGACCGTGGCAGCTCTACCTCATTCAGATTCAATGGCCGCCACCACGGCAATAACCCAGGGACATGCGGGACACGCCGCTCTCTGTTTCTAGTGGGTTCCTGGTCCTCTTGTATTTAAGATATGCTGGATGGAGTCTTAGGCTTTTTGAACTCAACAGCAGCTCCCATTGATTTCACTGGGACTGGGATCACACCCTGACTCAAACTCATTTCCTTTCGGGTGCTTGTCCTTTTTCTGCTCTGTAGGTGATGTGCTTTGGCCTCCAATACACTCAGTGCTGCATCCTACATGGACAACACAACTAAAAGCTACAGAAGTTTAAAAGAAGCTCCCTCCTAAGAACTATAACCCTCTCTCATTCTGATTTTCATATTTAAAACTCTAAAGATAAAATAATAACTAACTTATAGGAGTGAATATAATGAAGTGTTAAACTATTTTCATTCTCTATAAAAGCTGTTCTGTGACGGATTTCATTCATGAATAAAATAATGGCAATTTTATAAAGAAAAAGAAGTAGCAGTAAGTGAAAGTCTGATGGTATTTGTCATAACTGATCAGAAACAACTTATAGAAAGAGTTGACTTTTTTATCTTAGCTTCTTTGGCAAGTTTGCATCTGTTATAAATAGTACACAGAGAGAGAGAGGAAGAGTCTGGGGAAAAAGCACCACTACCACCAAACCCCAAAAACATCATTAGCTATTTTGCCAACTAAGACAGTTTAAAGCAGGAGTCCCTGTAAAATATAATTTTATCACACAAGTATTTTTATCACACAGCAAGTATTTTGCGAAGCAGATACAGGCCAAAGCATTTTAAAGCACAGAGTAGAAATACATATCTGCCTTTCAAAATAGCTACCAGGTGTTAATGGAATAGTTTCAGAAAAATCCAGTCAACCTTTAGCTCCATAACTTTTCTACACTCACATATGTGCATTTCAGAAGTCATTCCCTTTTCCATGCACATACAAACACAAATAAACTACTTCTTCTTTGAGTATCCCAGGGAAAATTAAATCTTTTTAGGGCTTTATTACAAACACACACAAAAATACTTTGAGTTAGAGGGACTGAAGGCTTGAAATTAATCTGGAAAATTCTATTGCTTGTATAAATATCAGTTTTCACCGCGACCAAGCATGGTTTTGAGGCCAGCTCACTTCTCTCTCCACTGCAGGCACGACAGAAATTTAAAGAATTCACTGGTCATTTAAATGGTAGCAACACTTCTTTTAAAAGACATTTTGCCCAGAAACATTTCTTGCTTTAGTTTTTACACTGGGCAGGTTGGTAGAAAAGCAGTTTTGTGGGATCAGAGAAAGAGTTTGCTAGTCCGTTCTGCTGTGCTCTCGATACCAGGTCTTACCTCTTGTGTTTTCACATTTATATATCCATAATGAGTTCTCAGAGGCTGCCTCTGGCCATTAGAAAACGGTATCCACTTGACACTGGTTTGTCCAAAGCAGTTGAGGATCAAAGGGAAAGTTACTTCATTTGTGAGACGAACGATGATCAGACAGAGGAATGCAGCAACGAAACTCACAGCAAGAATGGACTTTCTCTGTAATGAGAAGAAGAAAGAAAATCAATTATTAAAATCAAGAATTGGTTTTAATAAAAAATACATAACCTCTGTTGTAGGATGAAGGAAAAACACTTTAGAAAGCCTTATGTGAAATTATCTTTATGGTAGTCACCTTGCTGCAGGAGCACAAGGAGACAGGTGACTGGATCATTTTGTTTCAATAAATTTGCATTTCAGAGGTTTTGAGACTTTCTTTCAGAACTTGTTGGAAATGAATTTTTTTTAAAAATCGGCTTTCTTTTTTTGAGTTTCAAACATCTATCAGTTTTAAATCTTATTCATACTTGGAGTGTTGATTTTCATGCAAACATGCAGACCAAAGTCTCCATTCAAAACCATCAGTACTCCAGACACATGACAAATACACAGAGTGACAATGCCATCTGCAGCAATACCACACATGGTTTAAGGATGATGATCACTACAGCTTGCATTTATTGTGCATTCATTTTAAATCATTCCCATGCAACAGAACTCACACTCTAACCTTAAATATTTTAGAACAAATGGTCAGTGAAGTCAGCACAACATTCTGCCTTATTCCAAGCTCACGAATATACAAAGTGAGTCGTTATCATCTCCAACAAGATGACCTCCAGTGTTAATAATGTAACAGATCCAAAGCCTGTGTCTAATTAGCCTTTGCCTTCCACCTCTAACCTAGCCAGTTGGTTGGACTGGTTAATGCAACCACAGAAAGATACCAACTATTTCCCTGGGTAACTCCCCAGTTTGTAGGAGAAATACCTGTAAGAAATATGATGTTCCCCTCATTTTTAGCTGTTTTTTTTCAATGCTGCAGTCAATTACCTCTGGACAAATTACTTAAGGACAATATACATCAGTTGGCGTATTTTAGGCATCGTACTCTATTGTAAAGGTTACTTTGAAATTTTCCCTGATGGAATGGAACAATGATCATTTACAGGTGTTTCTATTGTACTTTAACTGCATTCTAACTTTACTTAATTTGCACAGAATGTAATCCCATCCCTCTAAACAATAACATATACAGAAAATAGAGGGAGAAAAATTATTTGCCTAAGGGCCTACATAAGTACATAGTAACGCTTCACGATGGATGACAGAATCCGATCGCTCCAATTCTTGTCTACAAGCACACCAACTAACAGGAACCAGCAGAGTACACATTTAAGACAGCTTTTGTACATGATGACAATAAGATCGCACGCACTGCAAGGGCAGTGGAGGGGTGAAAGGCGAGCTCTGACTGCAACCACATGAGATGAATCTGTTCTTTGCCTGGAGGTTCATTTGACAGCCTGCAGAAACTACAATTCAAAATGTTGAGCAGAAGCAGCAACAATATTTCTACAGCAAACATATTGGGATGAATGTAGACATAGTTTTACTGAACATGAGCACACGAAGCCTATGTGGCCATGCACAAGGCCTGTAGGCACCACTGCCACGTTTCAGTTCAGTTTCTGGACAGAAAACAGCAAGAACCATAAAGAGCACACAGCAAATTTGAGGGGATATTACTGCCTTCCCATACACAAGGGTCAACAAAATAGCACATTACAGGGTTCAATTGCGTGGCTTTATCTGTTCTGATGTATTAGGAAGCTGCAATTTAGAAGATAAAAGCAACAAAATAATGAAATTAAAAACTCAGGTGAGTTGGGTCACTGTGAGGAGAAAGGGAAGAGGATGGTGAAGAGGAGGAGCACTGTGGGGAGGTGATTCAGTGAGGAATCCCAGTCAGCTAGTGGCTGTGCAACGTAAAATTACACCCAGCAAATCTTCCAAGGGCAGCGCAGCAGCCACAACCCAATCACAGCTTTCAGAATGCACAGGAGCCACTGCAATTTTCATCAACTGCATTATAACAGATTTACATTAAATGGCAATAAACTGGTTGGGGAGCACTCCTGTGTCACTTCTCTTTGTACCAGATGGAGTCAGAAATGTTTAGCTATATATCAGGGCCTTGAGAGCGGTAAGAGCAGCTAAGATGTGCAGTGTCAGTAATAATCATAAAGCAATGAGAAGGAGCATGGATTAGTCATATTATTTATTGCAAATATGAATAAAAATATTGCAAATCTTTAAAGGGGAAGCTATAGTCTCATTCCACTACATGGACAAGCTTCAGTCAAAATGTCCACAGAAGGAAGCAGCAATAAGTGATGCCACTGCTTGATTTCCACATATTCTATCTTCCTAGTTTTTTTTAATACCATTTTTTTAACTTCCTTTATTTTGTGTAGGTATGTGCTGAACTTGAAAGTGTTGCCATCCACTTTGTGTGCTTCCCACAGGGAGCTGTTCTCAGGAGCCTCTGCTCCACGAAGAATTCACACTGTGTAGGCAGACTCCTCAGTCTTCATTAGGATGACATCCAATTTTTATATTCCTTTTCTTTAAATACATTGTACTACAGGAGGGAATTTGCAATGAGAGAAAGGAATTTTTAAAACAGAACTAAATCAAGGCATCTGTTATAATTGTTTTGGAAAAAAAAATACCTAGCTATATGCAAACACGATGCCTATTCATTAACTTGTACCAAGGAAGTATTAAGGATTCAATTCCCCTGCAATTTTTCTTCAAGGCATGAGGTCCCACAATATGCATCCTCCGAGGGAAAGACCACTGCAAACTGGAACTTCAGTGGCTTCATAAATTTCACCGTAAAAATATTTTTAAAAAACAAAGCATCTACTTATTATAATTCTATCCTTCTTAAGCATACCCAGCAGGTCCAGGGAGGTGATCATCCCCCTGTACTCGGCACTGGTGAGGCCACACCTCGAGTGCTGTGTTCAGTTCTGGGCCCCTCACTGTAAGAAGGATGTTGAGATTCTGGAGCGTGTTCAGAGAAGAGCCACAAGGATGGGGAGGGCTCTGGAGAACAAGCCTGATGAGGAGCGGCTGAGGGAACTGGGCTTGTTTAGCCCGGAGAAGAGAAGGCTGAGGGGAGACCTCATCACCACCTCCAACTGCCTCAAGGGAGGTTGTGGAGAGGTGGGTGCTGGTCTCTTCTCCCAGGTGATGGGGATAGAACAAGGGGAAACGGCACCAAGCTGTGCCAAGGGAGGTTCAGGTCAGAGATAAGGAGGAAGTTCTTTACTGAGAGGGTCGTCAGAAGCTGGAACAGGCTGCCCAGGGAGGTGGTGGAGTCACCATCCCTGGATGTATTTAAAGAGTGGGTAGACGAGGTACTTAGGGATATGGTTTAGTGGGTAGACAGGAACGGTTGGACGTGATGATCTCGGAAGTCTTCTCCAACCGAGCGATTCTGTGATTCTGTGATAGAGTAAGGCAATGAGTGGCCAAGAGTATTCTAAAGTTCACCTCTAAAAATAATTTGTTCCCCTTAAGTTCCTGCTTCCTTTACCTGCTCAAGAAAAAACGTACAGGCACCATTTGTCAGTAAGTGCCTCTTGTAAAATCTCCCTTTTTGCAGATGGATTTTGTTATCTTTCCTCTGATAAAACTTAAAATACAGCTTTAGAGACTCCAGAAATTCTACCTATGAGGACATGACAGAGAAGCATGAAGCTGTATTCAGTGATGAATACCAAATTCTCATTTGTCTCAAAATTTGCCTGCATCACCATTTTTAATACTTACACAGCCTACCATTTGTGAGAGCTAAACCAACAGTAATTAGCAAATCTGCACAGAAACAAATCTTATTCCTTCTTAATTTTCAGTTCTCGTGAATGCAAATAGTCTCTTAACAAAAGGAAAGGGTTTTTTTTTTAACATGAAAACATCTCCTGTATAAATCTCAAACAATCATTATATTTTTCTGGTTAATTTAATGAGGATATTTTGATGCTGCTACTGACATTTACATAAAAAATGTATATTCAGTTATAAATATTTTTACACATATTCATTGAGGAGTAAATAATGAGAGTTTCTTAGCTAGGTAACTTGCATGGTATATTAGCTTTGGAACATTTCACACATTACAGTACTTGACTTGTAAATAGTAAACACAGTTTACTTATCTGTTAATGACAGTAAGTCTAAATTGATGCTCATTCAGCATTTTTGGTTGTTTTTTCTAAAAAAAATAAAGATAAACACAAAAGATAAAAGTGGATGCACTTCAGAGCAGAGGATGTGTAATGCGATACTTGGGAAGCACACACTAGAGCTAAGCAGTTTCTTCTCAACTCTTTTTACTCAGTCCCTACACTAATATATTCCCTGTTTCAGTTCAGTTATTTCTCAGACACCAGGCTCATCCTGGCTGGTGTGTGTGTATCAAAATCAATAAGCAGTAGGCATGATTCACACTTCTAAGGCTCCCATTTATATTTATGTTGATAAAATAAGAATCGAAATAAAACCAGGATTGTCACACTACTACGCTGGTTAGGATTTAATGACAAACTTCGTGGAAATAAAACAATAACAACAGTACTTTTATGGGTGTATACATATATATTGGGCAATGTGGTCCCTAACACTATTTACGATGTTCATATAATCTGGTTTTGGCTATTCACCAGTGCCAGGGTGATTCATTAGCTTCAGTTTGGCAGGAACTTGACAGTCAAAACAAGTTTCAGTAATTTTTCTTTCCTAATGTGTTAAGAAGTGTGGAGATGACAAGACCACTTTTTATAGTTCAATAACGCCTGATAGAATAATAAGATGCAAACATTTTTTGTGTTGTGTATGGTTGTCGAACAGGGAGGAAGAAAGGAAATATTTTCAGCATAAGAGAATCTCCTAAGTTGTAAATTTTACTGAGGTACGTAGTATCTTCATTCTGCTTTCGAGCCCTGCCACTTAGAATATATTATATGGCAAAGACAATCAAACCGCTTTACAAGCAGTAACACATCCCCATCCTAGAGAGATTAACAGTACCAATCCATTTCACAGATCCATACACTGAGGCTGAAAGCACCTTACCCAAGATCACAAAGGAATGGGAAGCCACTCCTGAACGTTTATTCTAGAACCACGTTGTTTCTCAAGTTTATTGT